CCAGGAGCCACCCTTCCATGGTTTGGTTCCTTTAAGGACTAGGGCAGTGGGCAAACTACTTCAAGAGTCTGTCCCTCCAGGAGTGGATACCTGGCTTTGTAACATCAAATTTATGGGTTAACTCTTTCTCTTCTGTAACAGGTAGGTGTCTGCAATCACTTGGCAGACAGGTACATGCTGCCCAAATGCTCTCTCACTGTGATCATAGTTAATACCACCTCTGTCTGATCCGCCCTAAATTGTAACTTGTTATAACATGCTTGGAGTCCCCAGATCTCCAGGATCTACTTGTCCTCATTAACAAAATCATAATATGCACCCAATGTTTATAAACCACACAATTTTAATGAAAAATATATTTTAATTTACACTAAACAATAGAAAATTATTGAAGCTGTAAAAATTCACTGTCCTAATCAAACAATAAAATGACCCCAAACAAACAAAAAAAACACCACAGAAGTTGATGCTGCACATGACTGAATCTTCTGAGAGCCAAGAGTAAGTTTCTCCGTCTCTTTTAGAAATTCCCCCCCCAAAAATGAAATTACATCTATATTTCTGCTAAGAACCAGAAACATGGTGAAAGTTTACAAACTGCAGAGAGGGTCTGGTGAAGAAACAAATATTTGAGCCACTGGGAAAAGGCTTTTTGGGTTCTTTGGCTCTCACAATACAGGGGCCCTTGCCAATATACACATGGAACAAACCAAAAAGACGATGCTGATCTCCAGTCTGAATGCACCTGTGATGACACAGCACTGAAGCACCCTGTGTCCACAACTTCCCTCACTCAGCCAGGAGCTCAGCTGGTCCAGAGGGCTGAGAAACAGTCAAAGTCCCCAGGTTTTTCTGTTCAGATAGAAGGGTTGAGATTAACCTTAGTATTGGAAGCTGCGTTTAGTCTGAATGTCATCGAGAATCTGCTGTAATTCCTCATCTTCAAACCGGCCCTCCAGGCTGCAAGATAAGAACAAAGAGGAGACATTAAAGCTTTCAGAAATAATCTCCCTCCGGATTAATTTCAGTCATAATTTCCTCCCATCTGTCTCAACGTGCCATCGCCCACCTGTATATAACCACCAGGAACCGCCTGTAATGTTACTGTTCGAAGAGCACTCTAATCCCTATGCAGGGTCTCCTCTTTTCATGACAAAACTCCATCCTTCCCAGAACCTTCTGCTAAATAATTTCTAAATGTGTTATCAAAAAGCCCTGTCCAAGCTGGCCTTGAACACTTTCAGGGATGGGACAGCCACAGCTTCTCTGGGCGACCCGTGTAGGGGCCTCACCACCCTCACAGGGAAGAATTTTTTCCTAATCCCTAAACTAAACCTACTCTCTTTCAGTTTGAAGCTGTTCCCCCTCATCCTGTCACTACCTGCTCTTGTAAAAAGCCTCTCTTCATCTTTCTTGTAGGCTCCCTTTAGGCACTGGGGGACCTCAATTAGGTCATCCCGAAGCCTTCTCTTTTATATAATGACATATAAGGAAGAAACTGTAATTTAGACGCCTGTTTTGTTCCCTCCTCTCTCTCCAGCCACGAGGTAACCAATCAAGACATCAAGAAGCTACTGCTTCCCCATATCTTATCCACAAAACAGTTCATTTGCTCCAACAGCAAAAATCTCGAACAAACACAAACACAGCCAGCTAAGAACCCCAATTTAAGCTGTTTACATTTAATCCAGTAAAAGTTGTCAGGAACGAATTAGGGACATGCCAAACAGTGCCTTGCTGTCAGATCAATGGGTAGGGGAGGAAAGACCAAGATCGAATATTCTTGCATCAAGAGAGCTGGATTGAAGCGAGAGCACCTGCTCACAGCTGGTTTTAGATCACAGGGAAGTATAAAGCAGTCTTTAAGTGCTCACCTAGGAATGAGAGCTTTGGCCTCCTCAGCTGTCTCAGGACACAAATTAGCCAAACAAGCCAATTCAAACTTATGGAGCTTTTTCTGGAGCAGCAAACTGTAAGGAAAGACAATAACTTGGTGAAATTACAAAATAGAAATATAAAAGGGCATAACTAAACCAAATGGGTATCCTTTTTCACACTGCTTTTGGTGCTGAAGTCAGGTTTTTTCAAGAGGAAATACTCATTATGTAATTGCATAGAAGGAAAAAAAAGTCCCATCTGCTAAATCTACTTACCCTAAATTACTCTGCAAAGACTAGAAAATCCTCCCATCTAATGCAGTCTGCTACCACTGAAATACTGAAAATAAAGCAGTTCACAAGGCTTAACCTGAACAAAGTACAGCCCACTGTCAAGAATTATGATCAAATTTCCTGCCTCTTCCGAAAGAATTAAAGAACAAATCAGGAAACACCGCTAAACTGTACTTTCATAAAGCAGCATCCGCATTATTTATAGATCAAATTCTCCAGTAAGTGTTATTCCCCATCTTTCCCACTCACCTGCGCACACTGGCGATGGTTTCACGGTTTTTGAAGCGGCTGAAGCGTGCTGTGTAATTCAAGGTTTTCATGAAGACTTCTGACAGCTCCTGCTCATCCTCTGCACTCTCATTCTGCTGCTTCCGATGCTCCAGCAGCATGTGCACCTCTGAGTTCAGAAGAGTTTCTGCAGTTTCAAATTCTGCAGCCGAATGAGAGAACGCCAGCACCAAAGAAGGTGAGGCACGGATGAAAAGGAGAATTATGGAAATTTTTTATGAAAATCGAGCCCTGGGCAATAAAGAACGGAACAATGTGTTTCATGGCAGTGGTGTGAGCCCTTTCACCAATGACTGGGCAGCATTTCATACTGAAAATGCTGATAAAAATTACACCACTTCGAGTGACAATCCAAGGTGTTTGCCTTTTGATCTTGTATTATACACTTACGGCCTTAACGTTATGAGTTTTCATAGTTTTACAGTATGTTTTCCTCGCCCTTTTTAAGTAGAACTTAAGGAATGCATGAAATGCTTTAGAAAAAAAAATTTTAAAACAGTAATACTCAAAAAAAATTCAGAAGCAATGCTTATGGCCTTCAGAAGCCTCTGATTTCTTGGAATAAATATGGATGTTTTGAATATTTTAAAAAATATTTTGTTTACTTGAAAGGTTAATTGACCTACTACAATTATCAGAAAAAACCTTTTAACTAATCTTAATAGATCCCTCCCCCTTTTTAACCAGCTTTGTTTTCATTCATCATCACCATAACCACTACATACATTCCAATAATAAGAAAATCTTTCAACATCAGCAGTATGAGCAGAGGGTCAAAGGCTGCATGCCAGAGCGCCTGTCAGCACTGTTTTATACAAGCAGATACAGGGCAGTGCTAGAAAGGGACTGGAAAACTTTATTTTGCATTGAGCAGTAAATTAACTTAGGCTGAGCATGGTTGCTCCAAGGCTTGGACACTTCCAGGGATGGGGCAGCCCAGCTTCCCTGTGCCAGGACCTCACCACCCTCACAGGGAAGAATTCGTATGACGAGAAACGTCAGTGGAAAATGTAACGGTTATACCCAAAAGCGATGATATTTTCTCTGTAGGCTGACAGGATTTTTTTTTTTTTTTTAAATCCTGTACACACACATACGGCCCACATAAGAACTGCCACATCCGAGCAACCACGAGGTCCTGAAACGTATATAAATGATTTATTATCTCGATTTTTAAGGCTCGGGGCTCTGTAACCGGTGGAGGAGAGTCGGGGGTGATGAGCAGCGCTCCAGTCCCACTGAGCTGCCCGGCGAGGCTCGTTCCCTCACGGGCGGCCGCCGCCAGTCCCGACCCCCGCCCGGCCCGGCGCCCCGACCCCTGCCCGCACCTTTGGGGAAGACGAGCTGCGAGGCGTCCTCCTCCACGTCCGCCGCCCGCGGGTCGCTGCCGCCCGCCGCCATCGCCGGAAACCCGCAGCGGAAGGGCAGCTCCGCCGAGAAAGGGCGGTTCTCCCGTGTGAGGGGCGGGCGGAGGCTGGTTCACCCCCCGTGTGAGGGGCGGGGGGAGGCTGGTTCTCCCCCGTGTGAGGGGCGGAGGGAGGCTGGTTCACCCCCCGTGTGAGGGGCGGGGGGAGGCTGGTTCTCCCCCGTGTGAGGGGCGGAGGGAGGCTGGTTCTCCCCCGTGTGAGGGGCAGCTCTGCCTGTGTGACGGCCGGCCAGCCGGGCGGAGAGTGGATCTCCCCGATGTGAGGGGCCGATGGTCCATTCTACCCCGAGCACTGCCGAATATAAAAAAGCGGAGTTGCCGCTGTGGAGAACCGGGGGGAAACAGCGAGAACAGGGCGCCTGAGCAGCACGAAGCAGCCCTCAGAGGTGTGTTTAAGCTCGCTTAGCAATGAGCTCCTTTCAGAGACAGAACGAGGTGGGGTGCTGAGCGTTGTTTATGTGAACACGGGGCAAATAGCTGAGACAGACCAAGGCATCATCATACCAAGACTCTACAGCTCCCTGACAGGAGGTTGTAGCCAGGTGGGGGTCGGCTGCTTCTCCCAGGCAGCCATGGACTGGATGAGAGGACATAGTATTAAGCTGCGCCAGAAGATGAGGTCAAAGTTGGACTTTAGGAAGAAATTCTTCACAGAAGAGATGATAAGGCCTTGGAACGGGCTGCCCAGGGAGTTGGTGGAGTCACTTTCCCTGGAGGTGTTTAAGGGTAGCCTGGACGTGGGACTCAGTGCCATGGTCTAGTTGTCATGGTGGTGTTCACCCCGGGGTGATCACAGAGGTCTTTTCCAACTGAATTGATTCTGTGATCATGAGCCCAAAGTCTTACAAGGCACAAAACAGGGCCTGAGAGCAGGATGTGGAGGAATGCTGAGGGAAACAGTGCTTGTCCTTCACATGAGCAAACCCTTCTCCTTCTGCTCTGTCCTTTAGGAAATAACCAAAGAGCGCAAAACTGTGCTGGTCCCCCTCCCCAGACTGCACAGCAGCCCCCATTTGCCCAGGAGCACCCGGGGGCACCAAGGCAGCAGGTGTGGATCAGTGAGGTACAACCCGCTCTGTTTCACCACCAGAACATCCTCCAGCTTGACAACAAAGCACTGCCAGCAAAATAACTTATGGAGTAGTGTTTTCCCTGGAGAGCTCACATGTAAGTGCCTAACCAGCCTAAGACTCTTAAAGTAATCATCTTATCAGCCCTTACTATGTCATCCTGCGCCCCTAAAGAAAGGCAAAAATAGACTGTTGGAGGATTTATGATGAAACCACTCCTGTTCTCATGAACTGCATCTGTGCCTAGGTGAACTGTTGGGAAAAGGAATGCATTAAAAATAAACTATAGGAATATGAAGAAGAAAATAATAGATTTCTAATATTTGTTATCTGGATAATGAGCATAGAAGACAAACTGAATGGAAAGTAATTTGCCAAGTGGTACAAGCAGAAAGACTTTCAGTAAGAAATGGAATGGAAATATCTCGGGGAACATCTGGCAAATTAAACAATTTCAATTAGGTTTACAAGAAAGCAAAGAAATCCATGCCAGATTGACCAGAGCAGCATTTAAAATCATTTGGAATCCTGCCTCAAATACCCCATCAACTCAGATCATGATTCTCAGAGCACTAGGTAGCTCACTGAGGTTTAAGTTATTAATATCCCTGTTGGTTTTCCCCCGGGATTCATTCTCCTTAAGTATACAAAAACTAAAGTAAGAGAGCCAGATTCTTGCAAGAGTTTATAGGTACAGTTTAAGAGGCTATCGTAAAAGATTACAGCCATTATCACTGATGTGTTTTGTTTTGAAGAATTTAAAAAATGAACTTACAAACTCCTCAGGAAGTATTGTTTAGCTGCTGCAACAAACCAAACACAGCAGAGTACCTGCCTTTTTTGTCATTTTTAAAATGCTCTGGCTTTTTCCTCACTAATAATGACTGTTTCAGCATTTGTCAACAAAATACGCATAGAAAAGGAAGATGAGGTTGATTAAAATAAAGACTATAGGAACTTTTGAGCAGCTTTAGTGGTCACATCCTAAAATAAACTGATTAAAAAAAAAAAAAAAGAACACTAGGCCAAATGTAATTTGTCATGAATAGAGCCTCTAATATTCCATATTCCAGGGTGAAAAGCATTGGTCCTTGCTGGAGACATGTTATTAGGTAGCAGATTGTTAGACAGACCTATTACGGTAATTCCTACGTTGCTATAGTTTAAACACAGAGCCTGTAAACACTAATTGCACCTCCACAGATCTTACAAAATACTCAGCTGAATACCTCCATGTAATCAAATGTAGGAAGAGCTAATAACAAGGATATTCTATTATTAGCATAAACCTACTTTGTAATATGCTTTCCTTCTAATCCAGCAGCAGAAATGTGATTTTCCTAGCAGTTTTTTAAGCTTTCAAACAGTAATTACACATTTTCTGTGGAGTGCCAGCGGGATCCTTGTGGAGATAACCACCCACTGAGAACACTGTGTGCCACCATAGCCCGTATTGCCCAAGACATGTGTGATTTTCATCTGTGTTCTTAAAGTATAACTCTTCAGTCTTAGGTTTTCACACCATTTTTGCCTTTATTTTTACTCCATTTAAAATTATATCTCCCAAACCGTAAGGAATGAACATTGAGCAAAGTAAAATTATATCAATAGCCAGTAATAAAACCATAGTAAGCCCCTGAATGCAAAACTGCATGATCTGTTCATGTTTTAAATACATGTATGGATGGCATCTAGACATACTATCAACTGGTTGTATCATGCATGATTTCTGCCAGAATTAATCTGATTATAAGAACAGTCTAGCTGACTACAGAGAAGGGAAAAAAATATGGTTCAATAATATGGATATTGTTCATTTTGCAGAACTATATACTTGTTTTAAGGAACATGAGAACAATACTCTTCTTTGGTTTCTTGTGAGTGATCATCAAACACACACAAGTCATCTTTTCCCAGACCATGGGAAAACCAGCCTAGGAACTTTCCTATCATACTGCTCTATGTACTGTCAGTATAAATATTGTCTTATTGAGGCTCATGGGAATTTTTTTTTTTTCTGGTTTTCATTTTTATCTTCAAGAGGTGGCATTTCTCAGTCACAGGTAAAATAAAATTCTTTTTTGTGTGTGTGTGTGTGTTTAGAATAAAAATGCTCAATTATTCTTCATTTGAAGTCTTGTAGAAATTCCTCTTTTAATTTGGGTCTAGAAAGAAGTGAGTGCCAAATGAGTAATTAATTTTGTTTCTTATTTCAAACAGGAGTAACAACAAAAGAAAGTGTTTCCAGGAGAATTATCTTGGTTTATATTTAGCCTGGATTGACCTATTTCAGTGTGCAGTCATATGTACACCCTTCTACCTGGCCTCATCCTCCCTGTGAGCTGCTGAGTGAGTGTTCCTGTGGTCACAGAATGCAACATGCACGGAAGAACCTCTACTGAAAGACACCAGAGAATGATTTCATGTCTGACTGATTCAATAGGAAACCAAAAAAATCAAGTAAGAAAAGCATATGACACAAAGTGTACAAAAAGTCAATGTGTTCCTGACAACAAAGCTCAGAGAATACACCTGATAACTTCCTTGGGCACACGATGGCAGTGATATGGATAACTTCAGAAATAACAAGGAGTCACCTGGAAATCACATTAGTCCCCAGAGTCCCCCTCAACCCCTCCTCACATTGCCTAGGGGATTTGCTTTCTAGCCTGACTAGTACCAGCAGCATATTTTCTGAAAATAGGTTTTTGCTTTGTAGTTGTGCTGAGGTCAATGAGCTTCTCAGGCATATTTCAGTCAAAAGTACTCTCCCCCTCCCTTGGTTTGGTTGGTGTTTTCTTTGGGGTCTTATGACTGTTCATTGGCATCCAGGGCTGCCCTTCTCAAGAGCCACAAGCAGAAAATGTTGGATCTCCAACTACACATCTGCCACAGATAAAAAGTTAACAATAACCTGACATCATGGAAAAAAATCACGTGAACCAGAGGTATAATTCAAAACTATTCCACAAATCAGTTAATCCTGTCCCAAAGCAAACATTCAAATTGTAAGAATCTAGAAAGATGTGTTTCTTCTGAAATAATATTTTTAGATCACCTTAAGACTACAGCCTCAGAGTACAGACAATTTGTTCTCATTAGTTTTATCTTCATTCTAGAAGACAAAAACCCAAAGAACCATTTTGATAGTTTCAGACAGATTTAGGGTACTCTGTACATATGTGCTTTATATATGTCATGGCACACCATCATGACAGAAAGTTGTTGTCAAGCTAACGTTATTTCAGGATATAAAGACACTGCTACACCATTATTCATGAAACATATTTAGTGGTTGGCTTTAATTTTCCTTCTATTTTAGGTTGCTTTCTTCTAGGGAGCCTGTCTGACTGTTTCTGTGCTTCCAGACAGCTGCCATCCCACTTTGGCAACCTCCCTGGTTTTGAACATTCAGTGTAATTTACAGGTTTGTTATTCAGACCTGTAATATACTGTTTGTCTTTCTAGATGAGAATGATTTCATCTTATCCCCCATAAAGTCTGTGAGAAACCACATGAAGAGGACAGTACAAATAATCTTTATCCATTATGATTTATTCTCTACAATAATTCATTAGAGGATAGAGTTCAATTATTTACACTCAGAAGTTATTATATAGGTAGGAGGCAACCAAGTGTAATACAAAGAATTGGTCTGACATCTCTGCACTGAAGGTCAAAAGAGGTCTCCTGCTTTAAGGAAATAAATTAACCAAAGAAACCCAACAAAACAACATGTAGTTTCCAGAATACAAACAGAAAACAGCACTAATGGTCAGTGAAGATTGCAGAGGTTTGTTAATGTACTAGGAGAACAAATTATTCTGTGCAAAGGTTAAAATGAACTCTTAGATTTCCTTGTAGATTTTTTTTTGTTCTGATAAATTGTAGATATGTGATATTTTGACTACAAAACGTTCCCAAACTGAAATGGCCTCAGTTGAGATTGACTGTTGAACAATAAAAAAAAAAAATAAAATTAAGAACCTCACAGTGGAAACATTCCAACACTGACAGACTCCAGTGATCAAAGACATTCTCCTGTAGTTACTGTAAAACAAAGACATTTCATCATTGCAGTGAGATTATTCCTCAGTTGTGGCTGTCATGAGAATAAGCCCTTCTAGACCAAAAGGCACTTGCTTCTAAGGATGAGTTAATCCAGATCTAACCAGGTAACAGCTGCTTTGAGAAGTAGTTCTAACCTGCTGTCCACAGCCAAGCAACCACTCGTATCAGCTGGTCACTGATTTTGGTTGCCTCCATCTTGGGACAACTCAAAGTACACATTTTGTTTTTAGTTCACCTCTTTCATCCTTATGCATAGCTGCCGTGTAATGATCTAGAAATGGGATTATTTCCTGAGACCACCTGTCCTTGTCATACATTTCTCTGAGCTAACTTAGCTACTGACACAGTTTTCAACTGATTTTATAGCTGGACCCTTATGGGACAAAAGCTGGGAGGGCCTGTTCCTTAGGCAGCAGACCAGTGTTTCTGACCTGCCAGCTTCTCTTCTCACTGCAACAAGACAAGAACACAGTACATATTTAGAGGCATTTTTGTTTTTGTTGTTTTTTGTTTTGTTTTGTTTTTTCTAAACAGACTGAGTGGAGAAATAGAAGTGGGAGAGGGTAAGACTTCCCCAGTCCCAAACCACCTGTCCCACTTCAGGCTTAAACCGACCAAGTCTCTCAATCCTAAAATTCTGTTCTTTAAAAAAATTACAGCTAAACCCTCCCCACCCCACCCCTTAGTCATCCCCTAGTCAAAGAAACTGAAATCAGGAAAACACTATACACTGTTGAAGACACAGAACAGGGCGAACATCTGAAAAAGAAACAGTATAGTTGAAAAGCCTGGCACTGTACGCCTGCATGACCAGTCTCACCGAGCGTGCTCAGGGGTGAAGTTTTAGCACCATTTTTTTGCTTTTTTTAAACCTTTTAGAAATTAAATTCTAACATAGAACACTTGAACAGTAATGAGTGTAGCCCTATGTATCATACTGTTTGACAGCTGAAAGGTAAGTGGTATGTCCAGAGCTGACCCCACCCTCCCCCATCACTACATGGCACCTGGGAGAGTAGTTACAAACTGGAGTGGTTTGTAACAAGACGGATTTATTCTCAGCAGCAGAAAGTCGTGAACAATCCCTTCATCTTCAATTGCTTTCCAACACCACCACAAGGGAAAAGTGGCAATTTATAAGAATGACCCAGAACAGGGTGAAAGCTGGGTCGATATTGCACCGTTATCCAGAGTAACCTCCCTCACATCTCTCTCCCTTACACCAACACAAAGCAAAACTGCACAGTTGTGCGTTGCTTCCTTAGGATCAGGAGCAGCAGCCTGTAGTTCGTAGCTTCCCACTAGCCCTATTCCCTGCCGTACCACAGCAGAATTTCAGGCTTCCAACGCCAGCCAATGACCCCACGTAAGCAGGCTCTAAAGATACGTGCAATCAAACAGCCATGGCTCTGCTATGCACTCGTATCTGCTTTCCCAATCATTACTGACCCTCCAGAAACTTGGAAAACAAACCAACCAACACCACCCCAAACTATATTTTCAAGTCCAGTTACCTTATTGAGAGAGTGTCATAATTTAGAGTTTATGACATCCCTCAATGACGCTGCAGGACAACAACTGGTAACTCAACTCCCTCTTAGAAGAGAGTATTTCTTGTGATCATCAATCATGGGAGAAGAAATACAGAATGCACACGAGTTTCACCCAGTTTGGGTAGTACAGGTTTCCCCACTCACTGCCTTGATGGAGTACGACTAAGCTGATAAATCTTAGGAGGGAAATTCCACACCTCTATTCCATAGGCCTGCTACAAACTGGGACACTCCCTGCCCTGAAGACTGGTAGTCACACCAGAGGAGGTGGCTGTCCTAGCAATAGGAAGGTCCCCAAGACAGTTAGCTTAAACAAATTTCAGTCACCAGTCTCACTGTATGACTACAGTCAATGCCATGCAAATACCTCCCCAGCCCTAATCCAATCTGCTACAAATATTTGGAAACAAAACTTGGTCTTAACAGAGAAGACTGCCCAGGGATACACGAGTACCTTTTCCTCCCCATACACAGCATGTGCCATATTGCTCTCTTGTGGGCACAACAGCATTCTGTTTCATAGCAGGCTTCATCACCAAGCTCTGTCTGAAAACCCAGAAAACTGTAAACCAAGAGAATTTCTAAAGAATCTGACCTATCAAGGATCAGAGAGCCTTAAAGCCTTCTAGGGTTTATTTAAATAATGGATTAATTTTTCACATCTCTAAGTGTTTTCTGTTGGTGAGGATGGGGTGCCATCCAGGTGTTCAACCCTCCCCAGTATTAAGATGTCCACCTGTGATGCGTGGGGACTGCAATCAGCTCTCAGTACACAACAGATACCAGAGTTAAAAAAAAATTAAAAAGAACCTAAAAAATGTTTTGTTGGACTCCGTTGCCCAGGCTGCCAGGGGAATGCTCCTACTTGATCTGGGGGGTTTCCATAACAAGCAACTCAAGTTTCCACAGTGTCATTAACACCCAGGAGTGGATCAGTCTGAAGCAGCACTTTCAACTCCGAGAGGTCTTCTCCACCTCACGACAGTTCGTAGGCATGGAGCCCCAATCCAACTGAACCCCCACTCAGAGGGAAGGCTGAGATAAGGCTTGGGCCCCTGAAGTCCTGTCACACTCTCATCCTCCCCCCAGGTCAGCAGGAAGGCAGACTTGGCAACGGAAGCTAGCATCATAAAATGGTGCAGTAATAGAAGTAACTGGACCAGGAAGAGGAGGCGTCTGCCCCAATGATGTCGTAGCCGTTGGCAGCAACTGGGGAGTGGGACTGGTCATGCAGCCGTGTGTCAGGAGTAATGATTGTAGAGGGGGGGGGCATGAAGAGTGCCATTCTGGAAACAATGCTGGCGGGAGGCCATGTACTCTGCATAACTGATTGTCACCTTCTCACTGCGGTACCTGTGGGAACAGCGTCAGAAAAACAGAGTCAACGCACATGGAGGGATTGAACAACACCCATTCACCCCAGCTCACCCGTCAGCTCACAGCCAGTGGCGAACAAGAGGAGCGCACTAACTCTGGTACTGCCTCGTGCAGCAGTCTGAATAACCCATCTGAGCTTCAATTAGCTGCAGCGTCCCAAAAGCTGAGCCCTAGTCAAGGTGATCACAGTTAAGGGAAGCCTGAAGTAGCACACACGAAACAAATCATCAAATTGCATTCTTTTTTATCCTCTTGCAGTGGGAAAAAATGGCATGAAAAGTTTGCTAGAAGAAGACTCAGTTACAATGGCTAAATAATCAGTATTTCACCACTATTGTTTATTTTTGTGGTTATCTTCACATTTGAAAGGCTAGTGAAAAAAATGATGGAGAGGTGTGGGAAGGGACGTTAACTATAGCATATAAGTGTCAGTCTATGTTGTAAAATCAGAATTCACAAAATGTAAGTTCCTCTGGAGAGACCAGAGTTGTTTTTTTTTTCCACACTAACCAACAGATACACAGAGTGGTTGTGAGTTGCACTAAGACCACGTTATGCCAGATTTTAACGAAAACCTTCGTCCTGTCCTCTTCTGTTAAAAAAACCCCTGCACACCCACCTCATTTCTCCAGAGGTAAGAAATGACCTGATAAATTAATGTTTCTGTACAAAACCAGAATGTCCCAATTTTTACTAACATAAAGGGAGCAGAAACCAATAAGACAGCTGGGGGTACAGAAAAGCAAGCAAACTCTGAAAACCAGCCAAATCCAAGTGTGGCTTGAAGACAGCTGTCACCTACAAATAGCTCCAGCATCCACACATGAGCACACTGAGAAAAGGGAGTTCATTGAAAAGATAGTGAAAAATCAACCTTTTTCACTTTCAAAGGTTCTGCTTCTGATCTTTCACATAGATGGCAATATTAAAACCAGTGACACTTCTCTTAGAAAATGCCAACTTTGATCCTGCCTGGACCAAACATACTGTGCTTCATCCCATGTGTATTATATGCCTTACACATGGCATTTCTGGTTTGGTCTTTCACATTACATGTCTCATCTGAAAGAGGCATGAAGACTTACATCAAGCACAAATACTTTAAATTATCCACAAAATACTATAAAGTAAAATTAAAAGATGACAAATACATCAACTTACCTGGTGAGTTTAATTGTTTTCCTAAAATCATTGGTAATTGGAGCCTTAAAGCCACCTTTCCTGAGTAAGGAGTCTATGGTCTGGATCTGATCCCAGTCTATTGAAAAACAGAAGCAAGGGGAATTTTTCAATATAAAAAAGATGTTTCAAAAACATAAGAGAAGCATTAAAAGGCCTCTAGAAAAGCAGACAACTAAACAGGAAACTCTGAGCTTTAGAAATCCCAGTGTTGAACTGGACATATGTGGCCTGATGCACATACTATCTGCACATGCCAACCCCTTTTAATTCATACTGGAGCTGGTCTATGAAACAGTAATCCCATTTTCCATACGACCTCTCTCCTTATAAAGGTCTGTGCCTTGCTTCTGTTGCGGGGACCCCAAACTGTTTCACCATGTGCCACTAAGGTTTAGCTCCCTAAGCCTTGAAAATAAGAGAATACCTCATTCTTTACATAGATTGGGATTGATGCTCTAGTGCTAGCACAGTGCACTGCTATGTGAGAGATCAGAATTAAAATTACTACCTTAGTCTTTTGCCCCAGAGCCAGGAGGATGTAACCACTCCACTCTGCTAAGTGGAGGAAAGGAGGCAATATTTTGAGCAGTTACCATGGTGACTGCTACTCTATTTGAGTGGGAAGTGTGCTCCAGAGGGGCCCTATTTCCAGCCCTCCTCTGGAGGATGCTACTTTAGCAAGAATGAGGAGGAACGGGACCCTTCTGTTGGTGCTGTGCAGCCTGCAGTTATCCTAGCTGGTGGGAGAAACATGGAAAAGTGCAATGCTGAATGAAGCTGGAAGATCCATACCGTGAGATTCCCTATTTCTTAAGCCCTAAAATATTTTTATATACAGCTAAGATATAGCTGTGCAACGAGAGAAAGGCCAGGTGAAACCCCAGCAGCAACTGTATCAGGTGTCAGTTCTCCAGGTTAAGCTCGGTGGCTCCATGGCACTACTATGAGAACAGCATGACAGCATTGCAATCCAAGCCCAAAATCCATAGATTTAAGTTACCCAATTCTGTGACCCAACATGTTGACATGTTTGGCTGCCATCTCAAACCCACCTTGTTCCTTAGCAACCTCAGGTAAATACGTGGCTGTGCGTTTGACACCTTTCTCATTGATGAACTCTATTCTGATCCCATGGATACCAACCTATAGATGGAAATGAACAACCAAATAAGAGGTGTTTGCTAGCACTGAGTCCACCATTGAGTCGTCATTCCCACAACACTGTGTCTCTCTCTCTATCTGGACAGTTTGGCTTTTGTCTGGATAAGGACATTCCATTCCCCACTCTCTGTTCTTGCCAGGCAGGCCTCTCAAGCAGCTCTCTCAGCAGCACAATGGACCTCTGACACCTTTCCCCAACAAGCCTCACCAGTGTCCCTAAGGTAAGTCTTGTCAGAAGTCTGACAGTTTTCCATCTCTTGTGTTGTGCAAGAGAGACAAAATCTCTGTGCACAAGAATCGTGCCTAAAATAACCCAACTACAAAGTCCATATATATATATATATATATTCCTTCTTGAACTAAATACGCTTCCATGTACAAGGTCCTAAAAATCATTCACACCTTTAGTCTTAACTATTTCTATTTCCAGTTTCTATTCACACCATCAAAAGACTTCCTAGGCTTTTACACATGTATTTACACCCATCTCCTATTGGGCTAAATCCATAAACCACTTGCACGTTTCTTTTATTCTCATTTAGATCCCTTCCCAACCAAAAGCACACTGTTAGCCCATCCTCTTCCTCCCCTTTAGTTTTCCAGCCCCATTTCTTCTACTTCCAGTCTCTTCTATCCCCAAACACCCCTGTAATGAAGGAGACACATCACCGTGTACTAACCCGAACCCGAACGGAATGAGAGAGTGATGCAGAGTTCCAAATGCACCTGTTCTCACCTCCCAGTCCAGGTAGTCACTGGCATCCTCAAAGTTAGTGAGGAGGGAGACAGAGCAGAAGAGTTTGGGCAGCTCCTCGCGGGTCAGGGGGGGAAATCGGCTGTCCTTAAGTGCACTAAAGGGAAGAGAAGAAATATTGCCTAATACAAGCACCAAACTGAAGTGCCACATACTCAGTTATTCCCCTTTTTTGGATTATGCCTCCGTGAAACACGTTTCTCTGCTACTGCAGAGAAAATGACTTACAACTCTCCCTAATCTACTAAACTGTAATACCAGTGATGCTGTCCAGTACCTACCGCAGTGAGAGAAATTATATGCTACAGAAGATGTCAAAACTGTTAGTATGCAAGACAGATTTGCAATTAGCCTTAAAACGTCAACCACAACTCACCTGTTGCAAAGATGTTCCACTAAATCCTGCTATTCCCCTCACCCTGGCTATCATACACTTCTCAGGTGTATTTTATTGTGAAGCACATTACATTGAACTATGTTGATCCAACATAGTAACCTTGAATCCTTACAGATTTTCCGCAAACAAAACTAATTTCAGATTTATTTCACTGCCAGCAGTTACCTGGTTAATGTGTATTCCCTGAGTCCTGAGTGAAGATTCATGGCTGAAAAGGTCCCGATGCAGCCACGAAGCCGTTTGTCTCGCCCCGTCTTCCACGTCACAAAGAGTGGACTGAAAAGGCAAAAAATAAAAGAAACCTTCCAGCCTCTAGAGAGATTTGACTGCTAAGAGGAGAGTGCCAAGGTGTAAAAGAGCACGTGCACATGCCCTTGCTTTCTCCCCCTCCAGTAAACCCCAATGGGCAGGTTTACTCACCTGCTACCCAGCAATAACCAAACCTCGTGCCCACACCCTGCCAAACTCCACCATCTCCCTCCACCTTTTCAGCAGACTCGCTCCTGTCCAACAGTGCTCTGCAAGTCATCCATGGACACCGTCCTGGACAGATTCTGCACTGAATCTAAGGAGTGATATGCTTGTTTGACCCCACTGAGTACCTGTCAGTATTGACCTCACTTCATAGTATCCACTAATTTACAGGACAGCCCACATAAAAATCAATATAGGTGAAGCAAATAAGATTAGTAACTTATAGTACCAGTGAACCTGAAAGATCCCCAGGCATTCTTCAATTCCTCTATAAATCAGATTTGCAATAAAAGTTTGTATCCTTTTTTTTTTTATTTTTTAAGGGAATAAAGAGAAAGTCAAATTATTTTTTTCCCTGTTACTTCCATGAGGATCTGACTTCTGGGTCCATCGCGAAGGCTCGAGCACTTTATGTCCACATCTTTTGCTTACCTTCCATTTGATTTATATTTACACATATTCTCTCCTATTGGACACATACCTCAATCACTATTGTTCCTACTCAAACATCACCTGATTTTCCATTTTCCTGTCTACTATCAGGAATTTAGAGGCATATCAGTAGATTCTCAAACTCAGCAGGCTCATTTCAAGCTGCTAAACTAGAAGCCATGATTTAGCCTCAAAGAAAAACAAGTTCAGAACAACAGAGCTCTGTGAAGAGATAAACAGGTAAAGACGACTGTCAGCATTAAATGCAAAAAATTAACTTCTACAGAAGTGAGTGAAATAGCAAAGGGTTGTAGAGAGAAACACAACAGAAAGGACAGCGGTGGCTGCAGTTTAAAAGGATAACCAAACATTTGGAACATTTTGTAAGGCAACTGCTGATGTTCTAATTATAAAAACAGGATGAATGATTCTACAACTTGTTCAGGTTACAGAGTACTGAATATAAGACATCAGTCTGTGGATTTCTATAGAACTTTAAGTGGTATGATAGCATGTGATTTTCTGAGATTAAACAAACACTGACAGGAGTTCTGAGCCATCAAGACTGATTCAACAACACTGTCAGGCATTCACTTTCCTCACATACTCGAAGCTCTTGTAAGCAATGTATCCTTGCAGCAAACATTACAAAAGATACTAAGATGTTCTGTTCAGACAACAAAACCAGCATGGAGTGTGGATGATTTCTCAAATACAGCAACAGAACTTCTTAGTTCTAAGTTGTCAGAACATAATTTAAACTCTAGTGATAAATCAGTGTCCAGTGATGTTCCTCAGAGCAACAATGGAATTGAAAACTATCACAGCATAAATCCATCATTCAGGATGTAATTACCAGTTGTGACCAATGGCAGGAGTACTACACAAAATAGCAAATAGCCTGTAAGTGATAATTGTGAAGGACTTTGCCCACAGAGGAAGCGGAAATATCCTTCCACACCCAACAACAACCTTATTGTTGCTTGACCAAGACAGAGTGTTTGCTGTTCTAGTTTTCTGACAACACTTCAAGGCACTTGCAGGAGATCATTGCTCTACATTTTACATGGCTACCATATGTTGAAAGAGCAAACAGAAACAGAGTGTAAGAAAATACATTAGAAAGCTTAAAAAAAAAAAAAAAAAGGATACTAAACTTACCCAGGAGATCTCTGAGAAACACTACTATCAGAAGTTCAGTGGAAATTTCCCTAATCTAATTAAAGTTTTGAAACCATTGCTCAGCCCATGTGACACTCACCCCAAACAGGAAAGGCAAGGGAGAACACAGAAACTGTCACTCACAGAATACAAATCTAAGCAAGTTCCCCCTTCGATTCAAATTGCAGCTTCACATTTTCAATTCGCCTCTTTCCCCTTCCAAAGGGAAAAAAAAACCCCACAACCCATGTTTCCACTGAGCTTTCTGTGTCTATAATAGAAGAGATGTTATCAGAAGGGACAGGATAATTGCATTCAGAAGGCTGTCATATTTTAAAAAACCTTAAAGCACATTTTAAACAATTTCTCACTGCGGTCAGAAACAACTGAGGCATAAAAAAAAAGAAATACACAATTTTGTAGATGTATATAAAATTTCACTGTTTTCACTGCAGAAAAGACGTTTCTGACTCTGAAGAATAAATGCACTCAGCAAATTGCAGGTGCAGCTGACAGTAAGCCCATTGTTCCAGAGCCCCTCCTTGAAAAGTGTTATTTCCTAGATGTACTAAGAAAAGTCACAACAACCTTTTGTCCACGTTCACCCAAGAGCACTTACAGGTACTTTGCAGCCATATCTTCAGCAGATTATGGCAACTGTTTCTCCTCCAGACACAACATCCCACTTAGATGTGTTTGATGAGGGTTTTTAGGCTGAGAGGGGAATTTCAGTGACTAAAAGCTAGCTCCTCCATTTGCAACTACAAAGGGAATTTTAAAGTGGAAAAATACAGCTTGTTCAAATCAGAATTTAGCTTGTACTTGGGAAAAACCTGTTACAGAACAGATTTTATGATGCAAGTTGCTTATGATTTGTCTTGCATGGTAACTAGAAACTTCCATTGTGTAGTTTTAGCACCAGTTTGTAATGCCTATGATTAACAAATCAAAGACTGAAGTACCAAAGTAGAAGAAGTAACCAATTAACTATTTGCACAGGTTCTAAATTGTAATTTCTTCCAGTAACCTGAATATTAAAGGGGATATTTTCTTTCTTTGCCAAGTTAATTCAGACATTACTACAAGTCTTGCAATTCCACCATCTCTTCATTGATTTGTGAACATCAGTGCTTACACTGGAATAAGGGAACCTGACTCTGTAGGTATCTTACCATAATTCCCATCAAGACTGTTGTCCATGTGCCTATCCCCCAAAGATGGTAACTGAAATTCATGGTGGCTCTCAAGTCAGAACCCTGTAACTTCTATGTTATTACACTTTTTATGCCAAATCCTGCCCTTCACACCTACTTTTGTCTTTACTTCTGAGTTCATCACCAGTTTAAAAATTTGCCATCCAGAACAGGCTGTGCCTCTTTCTATTCCATCAACAGCCTGTCCAGAGAGACTTCCTGTATAAACCTCTGTTTTGCTCACAGATCTCTGCCACTGACATTCATTATGTCACAAAGGGCCAAAATACAAATTATTTCTGTATTTTCACTTTGCTGACTCCTATATTTAATGACATTTGCCTTGAAGTTCATTCCACGACTGTCTCAAGTGGGACAGCTCATCCTTGTGTGCTGCTCTGCAACAGAGCAAACCCCAGCTCTTCCCTGGGGAACATCCAACTATTTGCTGGAAGCAACAGCATAAATGCTGAAACACAAGAAAATTTAGGTAAGCATTTGCCTGCAGGGGAAGGGGAGGCAAGGGCTGGTTGTGCATTGCTGCTGTGCTGATCTAAATGTCTCGCAATTATGAGCGCAGAAATACCCAATGAGCAGCTCTGAACCAGCTGCTATTCCCCAGAGGACATCCTTTTTGAAACTAGTCAACAGAAAAAGCAACAAAATCCAGCCAGAAATCTCCTCTGACACCAAAAGAATGCAGCTGTGTAAAACCATCTCTCTTACTGACTTAACAGAACAACAGTAAAAAAAAAAAACCACAACCCTTTGCATTTCAAGTGACACAAAAATAAGCAGACTAACATAAAATGTTCTAAAAGGAACCTACCCAGGGTAGGCAGCAAAAACAGCAGAAATGTTTCAGCCTGGGGAGTTCCTGAAACTATCTGAGAGCCTGGTCCAGAGCATTTCTCCATTCATTTGTATTTACAATATTAAACAGCTTAGTCTGTGGCAGCATTCAGAACATGTATCCATAATCCTACTTGGATAATAACTGCATGGAAAGCACAACCTACATCCACCCTGACAGGCAGTAAGGTGGGCAGACAGTGAATACACAGAAGAAGTCCTTGACCTGTTTAAGCCATCGTTCCTTTACATCAATTTAAAATTCATTAACTTAAAATAAAAAGTTGTTGACACCATTAATTTATCTATTGTTCTGGAAGAGGCCCCTGGAGGAGTGTCAGGAAGTCTATCTGTCACTGATCTTTTCCATATAATTCTTTCACCAAACATTTTAACAACATTAACATTTCCACACCTACGCATTCAACCTTCAGATAAACATTAGCTAAATCTCACCAAAGCCAAACAGCTTCATAAATCCTTCTCCTCACTTCTGCTCACACACATCTTCTTTCCTCCTAACCTTGGTATCGTCCTTGAAAGTTAACTCTCTTGGCAGTGCTGGGTTCATGGTTGGACTCAAATGTTTCTCCAACCTAAATGACTCTATGATTTCTCCTCACATTGCCCAGCTAACACTATCTTCCCAAAGCATCTTCTCTAACTGGAGATTTTTCGATTCCTCTCCCTGCTAAACCCATTAACTTGGATAGCTGAACAGCCCTGTAAGTGTCCTTGTCCAATTCTCACCAGCTCAGCATTTCTTTCAGGATGAGCTGGAAACTTGTTTCAACTTCTTACTTTATTCCCTTTCCATTTGCTTTGCAGAAGGAAGTGTCCCATGTCCCTTCACCAAGTCAGTGTCTCACATTAGCTGGAGCCTCTTCAAATTACTTTTTTTAATTATTATTTTTTTTTTTATTATTTTACCGTTCTTTTAGTACAGTTTTGCAGGAGGAACTGCTCAGTTAAGTTTTTGCAGAAGAATCTACTTAGAAAGAAGGGGGCAAACTTTTACGTTACCACGAAGTGGGTTTGCGCTCCTCAGGACACAGTGTCTCATGGGACATACCACACTGAGCTGAAGAAGCACCACACCTCCTCATACTTAGCCTGGCTCTCTTTCTGTAGGGCTAAGCATGTTCTCCCCTGAAGGCCACTCTTCAAAGCTCACTCGCTTCCACCAAAACCCACAACACTTTACTCCTTCATGCACTTAAGGCGCATTGTTTTTTGTTTCTGGCAGACAAAGCAAGCAGCAGAACGACCCCCCTCCCCCTGCACACCAGTTTTCCTACTCCCCAGAGGAAACCCGTCACCTGTATCCAACCAAGCCACAGCTCTGGCAGCTGTTTCCCAGCCTTCCTCCCACACGCAGATGTACTCACTAGGGGTCATTGGTAAATCGAGGAAGCCGTGGCTGAGGGAACCCGTAGAGATGACAGTAGAGTACATCAAAGCAGTAGCAGCACATTTCCGCTGTCACCACCAGGTTCTTGGTGCTGTTGGCAGTTCCATTAGGCCGAGTCAGTGGGCTCAAAGCTCCTGAAGTGGGATTCATTCGAGTAACTGGGGAATTTCCTGGGCCCAAAGTCAAGTCAGATACGTTCTCCCTTCCATTATTCCCGTCTGTGTGCTGGTGGTTCTGAAGAGGACCTGAACTGGAGCCTGGTACAGTTGTGGTCTGATTCCCATGACTGTGCGTTCCACTCCCAGACAATTTGGGCTTCTTCACCCCACAACAGCCAGCTGCCAGCTTGGGCTCAAGTGGAGGAACACAGCGTCTTTTTCCCATCCTGCTTCAAAACCTGCTGCCTGGAGCACTGTAGAACCCTGGCAAGGAGAGGGTGGAGGATAAAGAAAGCAACACACAAAGAGTTACAGGTGAAGAACTTCCCTGCTCCTGCTATAGAGGAAAAAATCCTCGCAACCTGTGACCAAGTGCAGGCACTGAAGCCAGTTCAGCAGGCAGAATGGGGGTTCTCACACATAAAATGAAAGAGCGTGGACACAACATGTGTGAAATCACACTTTTCAAGTTATTGATGAGGTGTACTGAACACTTTAATAAAGTGGCTCATCATCAAACAAACCACAATCAGACCTCCCATAAAGAGAATGAATCTGGGGGAAAACAGAATAAAAAAAGACTTAGGACTACAGATACACCCTATCTGCTACTGTTCCTGCTCACCCATTCCTCCTCGGTCAGTGCCTGCCCCAGTGGCAAACAAGCTGCTGACAAACCACCAGTGCATCTCCCTTCCCCATTCCCAACAGAAGAGTGACAGGAAAATGACACCTTGGGGTTGGACTCCCAGGGGGGCTGATCCTGATTTAGCATTGGCAACATCAAAGAGGAGCTGCAAGCACTGAAACAACGGACTATTTCTAAACAACAGACTATTTTCCAGGCCACATGAACTGGAATCTGTATTTACTTTCTAGGACTGGGTGAATCAACAGAGCTCGCAAGTAAACACACAGGGTGTACAGTCAAGATGTGCAGGACAGGAAGAGCTGAAGCCAGAGCAGTCTGAACCGAGGGAAGTGATAATGGCAGGAAACAGGTATGGTGTAAGAGAACAAACCAACTTAGAGCATTGTTTTGCTTGCAAAGAGGAGAATGTTAGCTCATGCATCACATGCAGGGGTGGAACAAACACAGGGAGGAAAAGCTGTGCAGGCAAAGATGAACAAAGACGATAGGCAAGGACCACAGGTCAGTGGCAGGAACTCAAAACACCGACATCACCATGAGATCTGAACGCACAAAGGGAGGGAAAACCAGTTCCCCACCTGTAAAACAGGGATGGAAAGCACAGGCACCTGAGTCCTGGAGAACACCACAGAGGACTGAGGTCACACTCGGCTCTCACAAGGACCTGGGCACTACAGTGACCATCAGAGCACCGCTCCAAACCCCCAGGCATGTAAGCGATGTCTGAGCCGACAGCACGGACACAGAACCGCGGGGTGGGGGGTTCTGTGTGTTCACACAAATTCAGGGTGTGACAATTCCCTGCCTTCTCTGCACGTGCAAACAGTATAAACTTTATCCATGAAGTTTCATCGGCCATGGCGAGAGTCACATAATCCTGAACTGAACCAGAACCAGTGTAAGACGTGTTCAGAGACGCACACAAACCACACGTGCCTGCAGGGCTTGCTTTGCTTAGGGACCCTCACCTCAAGGTTTTAAAAAGACCATAAGGAACAATTTACAAGACCAAATGAAAATTAAAATTTTTCCCTGATCTCCACCTTCACAATAATAATAAAAAAAGAAACCAAAACAAGAAAATGAAAAGCATAACTTTGACGAAGTGAGCATGTCAATGTTTCAGCGCTTATTAAAAGTTACCTGCTCTGGCTCAGTGAGGGTGCTGGGATAGATGAGCCTTCCCCAGTTACCGCTGAAGGCTCAGCCGCATTGGGGAGGCTCTATCATTATTTATTTATTTGGAAGCACAACATTTGATTCAAAATCGGAGACGTGGCAGGGGCAGAGGGGAGCTCCCCTCTCCTCTCCTCTCCGCTGCTCTGCAGCAGGGGCCTAACAAAGGCGGCCGCACCGGCGGCTTCTCGGCTGCGGCCCCGCTCACCGGGAGCGCCCCGCGGGCGGGCGGGGGGCGCACCGGGACACCGGGGCCGGCCGGGCCCTGCCCCGCGATGCCGCCCACAAACTTTGCGGGGTGTTCGGGGCGGCCCCGCCGCCCCGCCGGACACGGCCCGGGGACCCCCCGGGGACCGCCGGTACCCCCGGCCCGACCCCCCGGGGCAGCACCGGGGCCGCCAGGGGGCGCCGCGGAGCGGGACCCCCCCGGTCCCGCCGCCCCCCCGGCCCGGCGGGCGACCCGCGGAGCCCCCCCCGCCGCGGGGCCCCCTCACGGCCGGGGGTCACCCACCTCCTGCACCCGGCCCGGCTTCTCCTCCGCCTCAGCCCCGCCGCCGCCGCTGCTGCCCCGCCGCCTTCTGCCGCCTCATGGGGCCATGGGCCTGGGCGAGGCTCCCCAGAGAAGCGGGCCCGGCGGGCGGGGGAGCGGGCAGGGCCCGCCGCAGCCGGGGCTTCCCGGGGCGGCCAGAGGACCGGAGCGAGGCCGCGGGCAGGTCCGCCGCTATCCCGGCAGCCTCGTCCTCCTCCTCCCCTTCCTCCTCCTCCTCCTCCTCCTCCTCCTCCCGGCCGTGAGGTAATGAGGGACGGACGCTCATAGTCCGCCAGCCTCCTGGCGGCGCCAGCGCGGACACGGCGCGGGGGGGCGCTCGGCCCCGCGCGGGACCATAGAGACACGCGCGTCCGCGCCCTCCCCGTCACGTGACGCAGCGCACGTGCGGAGACAAACAGTCCGGGGGCGGGGCCCACACCACGTGACAGAGACACCGAGCTTCCATTGGCCGGCGGTGGAGGTGACGGCGCGGGAGGGAGGGGCGTGCGCCGGGAGCGTCCATTGAGCGGCTCGGGGCGGGGGGAGCGTTATTGTCCCCCCAGGCCGGGCGGTGGTTGGGCCCGGCGCTGAGGGCAGGCCCCGTGCTCAGGGGACAGAAACAGCCGCGGGCGGCGCGACCGGGTAGCTCGGGTTACAGCCGGGCAAAGAACACTGCTGAGGCAGGAGCCGTAAACGGCACAACCGCACCAGAGATGAAATTTACTTTTTTTAGTGTTTGTAGCTGCCCGCGGGACGCTCAAACCCTTCCCCGCACCCTTCTACACAGCACTGTGAAAAACGAACAAACGCAGAGTAGTTACTCCATCAAGGGTTTCAGGACACCGGTAAAAACACAGGCGCTGTATCCAGTCTAAGAGGAGAGAATTTCCCGCCAGCGGGTCGGTCTGTGGGATGAGTTATTTTAATCCAAGGTGCTGCGGCAGTGGGAGCTGTTCTCGGTGTACAGCATGGGAGGGGACAGAGGAAACCACAGGGCTACTTCCCAGTTACCTCCCGAGAACACAGGCATAACACCTGAGCAAGCTGAAGAGCGGACTTTGCAGATCCCAGGATACACTCGCTGCCCATTCAATCCCAAGAGACAAAGAAACTGGCTCAACTCAATTTTAGGATTGCAAAATGGCATTTATGCATACCCTTCCTGATCTAAGCCTAGGCAGTAAGAGGCATGAAAACATGAGTTGGAGAAATGCAGATGAACATCACTGGATCTCACTTTCTCCTACAGAGTCACAAGTGGTCTGGGTTGGAAGGAACCTCACAGCTCATCTTGTCCACCCCCCTGCCCATGGGCAGGGACACCTTCCACTAGACCAGGCTGCTCCTGGCCTTGAACACTATAGACTCTACATGATTTTCACAGCACTGGGGCAAAGCTTTTTTGCCATTCTAAGGTTATGGAACAGCATCACTCTTTGGGTCTAGACAGGGGAATAAGAATACCTATGAGGTAAGAATACCTATGAGAACTAATTAACAGCAAGCTTTTAACTTTTGCAGTCCTTAAAAGAATTCTTTGCTCCCTTCCTTCATAAATATCTCACACTTTGCTGGTAATGCCTTGGATTTAACCCAAAAGCCCTTGGTGTAACAGTTCCCAACCCAACAGAAGTCCACTTAATAATTGTGAATGAGCTTCTTGCAGTGTCCTCAGGAACCTGTGGGAGCGTTGGCACTGTTTTATTACCCTGACAACATCAAACAAATACTTGACCAGTTATATTCCTGAGGCACAAGAAACAAGCAGCAGTTTGATTCCCACCTTTTCATGTCTTACCTCTCCTTTTAATTCCAGCATATACACCCACACACTCCTTGAAGGCCTGTAAAACTGGAAGGGTATTTTGTTTTCTTTTTTCTAGCCAAGGGGAAAAAAAAATAAAAATCAGCAGTCACTGTAAATTTCCTAATATCAAAGTAACAATACCATTATACAAGAATTGTATCTTACAATGGAAGCGGTTTCATTTCAACAAGTAAAATCAAGTTAAAATGAAAGACTGCCATCCAAAGATAAAATAAATAGGTTTTGCACATGTTAAAAACATAAGAACAGTGTGAATATGGACATTCTACTTACTTCTCTAGTTAGAAAATACTGGGTTTTTTTAAATCTAAGTTCTGAAAGAACTCTGTTCTGAATAAAGGCAAGATAACAGCCCTGTAACTGGATTCATGAAACTGAAGCTTCCTGCTGAGTAGACTAAAAATGAACTGATTTGGCAGCCTTTCTAAAATATTAAGGTTAAATGCACAAGTACATGGGGGATAATCCATATTCCATCTTTAGGAGCTGAACTGGGAACTGCTTTACCCCCCCCCCCTTGCTGCACAGGACACTGGCTGCTTACCAACGTGCTCTTTATTCTTTCCACAGGCTTCTTCCAAGGCTTTGTTTTCGAGTTTGCAGGTTGAACAGTTTCACTGGTACAAAGGTACGCAAACTGCTCACATACAAAAACCTCCAATTCCTTTATTCATGTTTTCAGGATGTATGTGGTACGTACAGTTAACATTACACCAGCTACAGGAAGCCCCTCTGTTGCAGGAGGTACTTCAACACAAGTATCCCAGAGCACCAACACAGACACACACACAGACACTACAATATCACTTTGAAATGATTTCCCCCCCACTTTTTTTCCTCTTTTTTTTTTTTTTTTTTTTTCCTTTTTAAACTTGTCAGCTAGGGCTTTGGAGCCGTTGGAGATTCTTTGTGGCAGATCCCCTGGTGCAGTGGCACTGGTGTAAGAAGGCTGCTGCTTCAGATACTGGAAGGTCAGAAGAACGGGAACTGAATGGGGTAACTGAAAGCCGTGTCATTCCCAATGCTCGGAAGCTTGGCTGCTGTCTGGGTCCATACCTGTATGTCAGCCTCCTGGTGTCTCCTGCAGAACCTCCTGTCTTACAGGTGTGTCCATACTTGACACATCAGGAGGGTTAAACAAGTGGGACTGAAAAGACTTTAAAAAGGGATGAGCCTGAGAGAAATCTTTGTTCATTATGACAAGATCAAGGACAATCTCTTCAGTCACCGGGCTTCACGTGTCCATCTGTTCCCTAAACTCACCCTTTTTAGTCAGATGCTCTGCTTAAAAATAAACCCAAACTACAAAAAGGTTCAGCTCCATTCTGTACACGTTCTCCATTTCCAGAGTCATTAATCTGTCTTCAGACCTTCTCTTTTCGCTTTAATTTGGACACTTTCTTGACAGTTCCATTCTTGTTTAGAAGCTTCAAAACACGATCCTTGTGATCCAAGACCTTTAGCATGGAGTCTCGAGCTTCATTGATTTGATCCATCACAAGTTTACACCTCTGCATGTTCCCCTGAAAGGAAACACTCACCATTAGCAGCAGAACGTCTGGGCTAAGCAATCCCTGTGCCTTTTCCTAATGCCTCTTGTAACTTACGACACAGGAAGTGAACCCACACGATTTTTTTAGGCCAGATTTAACTTTTATTAATGGCAGTAGGATACTTTGTAATTAAGGGTGAAGCAGTTTTGGGTTGAGGGGCCACAGGACCTACCTGTATCAGTTCGTTGATTCGATGCAAGTCGTCATCGGTCGCTGCCTTTTTCTTGGGAATGAGTCCCTCCTGCAGGGCAGTCAGTCTCTCATACACATCATGCTCCAGGTTTGTCTAAAAAACATCAGCCCTTCATGAGAAGGGTCACTGCCAGGCTGGCAAATGCTCGCCCACATTAACAAAGCTACACAGAGACGGTGATAATCCATTCCCCTCTCAGCTGCTCCTGTCTGTGATTCGGAAGATGGAGCCTCTGACAAAGCATGGCACTATTATTCCTACTCACATCCTATTTACAGGATTTCTCCTTCTCTGAATAAACATGGATCCTAACCACAACGGCTTCCCCTACTTCTCACAATACTATTCCAGGAATGCAGAGGTTTTGGGGAGTTTGGTGCTAAAATGCAGAGCACCTACCTCACCCCCAACCTGAAACAGAAGCATCCAGGAATGTGGATCAGTGCTGCCTCCTCAGATCAGCCGCACCATCCCAAACAGACGCTTCTTCAGACCTGTGCATCAGCAGGAGGGAGTTGCCAGTTTTGATCATCTGTACAAAATACATCAGCTCTTATGTCTGGATCAAAACCAACACTCCAAGTTTCCAAGCCACTTATGCCACATTCCTGAGAAAGGGGAAAGCACATCCCGCTCCCTTTGGGCACTACACACCAGCTCCTTTATGGTATCCCAGTGCACTGAGTTTGTAACAACATCCTCCTGTCTCACACAGCTCTGTGTTCCCCTGCACTGTAGGGAGCTGGAAGCCCCATGTACCTACCAGCTGTAGCAGCTGCGCCGCACAGAGATGGACCTTCCACCCTTGTGCCCGACAGGAAACACCCTTCTGATTGGCAATCTCCTGCAGCATGGCCTTCTTCTCCTCTGTCACAGGAAACACAAAGATACGGTACTCAATTTTCAGGAGGTGGCCAGGCCTCTCTTCTCAAACAACATTAACCCAAGTCTTGCTCGCCCTACATCCTAATAAGTGACAACAAGCAATGTTTTGATTCAGACAGGGAAGTGACTTCCCATCTGCCACGCAGCTCGCTGCTGCTCTCACTTACTAACAGGTCTGTATTTCCAGAAATATTATATTATAACCTATTTTTTTCCCATTTAAGGAATGCAGTGCTCAGCATTTCGAACACTCTGCATGAACAAGTAAAAGGCCATCTTGTACTACTTCTATTCTTTCTTCAATGTATTTACAAAGTTGGGAAAACCCAGTCTGCTTAAAAATTCCAAGATACTAGCTAAAACATCTGAAAGACAGTATTTGATCTTGATTTTCCTCATATTAGGAAAAAAAAGTCTTCTTAAAAGCCAATTTGTTAGTTGACAGGACTAGTTACACTAAACCTGGAATGTTTGTGATTAAATTGGCAAGTGTTAGGTGGTAAATGACAAAACTCAGCTGCAGCCTATCACCACAGTGGTATCTTTTACAAAATGACACCTTTTATAAGGATCCCTTCCTCGAGCAAGTTTCCATCACTGTTCGTAACCGGATTCATCAATAACCACGCCATTTTTTGGTTTACAAAACTATTGCTAATCCTGTGTGGCCTCCTTCCCTTCTGTCCCGCCACACCCCGAGGCTGACCTTTGACCCGGACGTCGCTGTATCTCTGGAAGTGGTGGTAAGCAGCTTTCCAAGGGT